CACGCGCGCAACCGGTGATGCGCGAGTGGCCGAAACTCGCCTCCCCCCGCAGCCGCTCGGTGCCGAGTTACTGCCGGTGTTCTGTGTGCGTCTTCCTCCTGTCACGTCTACAGCAGCAGCCCGAGATACGAAAATAATCAGAGCCGGGCTTTCCCCTTCCCCTCCCTCCCTCTGCCCGGTGGGCAGCTGCCCCAGCTTAATTCAGGTGACTTGCAAATACCTCGCAGTTACTGCCGGTGTTCTGTGTGCGTCTTCCTCCTGTCACGTCTACAGCAGCAGCCCGAGATACGAAAATAATCAGAGCCGGGCTTTCCCCTTCCCCTCCCTCCCTCTGCCCGGTGGGCAGCTGCCCCAGCTTAATTCAGGTGACTTGCAAATACCTCGCGGCAGGTTTTTTATGTTCACTATATCCTGGGGAGGGGGTCAATGGGCATACAGTGATTGCCAGCAGTGGCCGTTTCGGCACGTCTAAAGCCCGGTTGTTCGCACAGAATGGATGTCCTGTGGGGTCTTCCGAAACACACAGTCTGGAAAAATGATGGAGGCTGAAGGGGAGATTTACTTTTCTTGCTGGTATTCAATCAGAATAATAAACCATGTTCCTGGAGAGGAGGAGAAGGTGAATCCTGCCACGTTCTCCAAAGCATTCAGTAACTGAGCCTCCGCGTTGTGGACATGAATGTCCTCATACTTGTCCGACGGTTAATGCTGCCATTCAGACCTGAACCAGGCATGAAACTTCTCCCGCCAGCTGTCTTCCTCCTCTGCAGCATGCTCCCACCCTTTCCACTTTGTACACTACTGAGCTGCAAAAATCCATTAGGAATAAGACAAGCCCAGCATTTATTTCTAGCTGTCACAGGTGGCAAGGGTTAATAAAAGACATCCGTATTTCTTAGATAGCTACAGATAAAATTTGGACCGTGCTATTTAGGCCACTTTCTGTCTCCCAGCAGTGCTGTCCCACATTCAGTCTAATTAATGGCAAGATCTATGCTGTGTAACGACTGCAGGAGCGGGATCATGTTTAGAAACTGCACAGCCTTAAGTATGTCGATTGCTGATGTCCTCGTTTACCGAGGTTCATCGAGTTCTGTCAAGAACTCCCTTCTCAGAGGACCGCAGTTCAGAAATGATGTGCACAAACGATGTCTTTTTCCATCTTCTGCTGAAAAAGTTTGATTCCTTGCATATTGTGTTTACAGTTTTAAGCTACAGATTTTCCTCTTCAGATCTCCATCTGTAATTAAAATTACTAATTCCTGTGTAGCACAAATCCTAATTTGTATTCAGCCCTAAATGACAGTATTGTTTTCTTATTCCTCCTAAAACAATTGAACACTGGATCTTTAGACAGGAACAAGCATTATCCATGCTTTCTCATAGAAAATGAGTGTGAATTTCTAACTGGTCTCAGGAAGCCTCCATGGCTTCCTCCATGGCTTTCTGCCTGTGGTGTTCAGACCTGGGGATCTATCACACAATCCAGGAAAGGTAATAAGGAGGCCTAAGGCCATTATCAGTTGGCTGAAATTCTCTCTACGGGGGTCGGCATTTGAAATATTTAGGAAATACTTGCTTCTCAAACTGAAAAACACTGAAAAGTCGCTGTTCTAAGTTGCTGCGTGCAACAAGCCAGGCGGTTGCTCTAGGAGAAAGATCAGGGTATCCAGGACAAGGGTTGTACATGTAGCTTTTTTCAGACCAAGTGGTATAGAAGGAAAAGTAGTCAAATTTCTGGGTTAACAAGCTATTTTTTTGGTTCCAAAGCAGTAACTACCAAAGCTAAATGCAACTTGGGAGCAACTCCTTAAAGCTTAGATAGGGATGTATCGGTGAGACCAGCTTGCAAAGAAAAAGTGGAAATGGGAATGAATGGGGTGTTGTGGGGGGAAGAATGAGGGCTGAGAGCTGGTAAGTTCAGGGAACTTCCTAGGACTTGCTGGTTTTAACTGTTAATGATTTTTCACATAATAGATAATCCTGTGTGGAAAGAATCTTCCCAGAAGCACTTGCCCTACATTTCAAGCACCCCAAACCACAGAACTCATCATTAGAAGCAGAATCCCCTGTGGTCCAAAACACCAGATCAGTTTAAACCATGCCTGAGCAAGAAACGTTAAGATATGTTGTTGCCCATCTGCTACTACAGCAATGAACACCCCCTGCCATCAAACCATCAGCATCTTCTGATCTTACGTTTGCAGTTTCAGGACTGCAACATGCTTCATCCTGTGCACGGCTGCCTTCCTGGTAGTTTTGCTGCTGAAAATGACTACTTAGCACCAGTATGAACTCCCAGAGATGGCCTTTATAGACCAAAGGACTGTGCTGTCGCTGAGGGAGAGCTTCTCACAGAACAGGACATTCTCCTTCTGATCTTTGAGTCCTGATCCTTAAGGGAAACTGCAGAACTTGTCCCACAGAAGTCAGCATGGGAACTAGGTTTTCTAACTGCCCAACACCCAGAACCGGAGACTCAGTAAAGACGCTGGTCTGACAGGAGGTTATAATTTCCCTCTGCTTCCCTCCCCGCTCTTACCTCTCTCTGAATCAACAGACCGACCAGTAATTGTCTCTCCTCGTTGCTTAGCTAATAAGTGCTGCTCTCTCTCCCATCCTTAACATCCTCTGCATCATTAACATCATTAACGTCCTCTCTATTCTATAGCTACCATCTTCTTCCTTTCAGAGCAGGCCTAATTAATGAATATCTTAGTAAATGTTAAGCAGTTGTTCTTAACTGAGAGCAGCAGCTGGTGTTTCTAACCCAAAGAAAAGTTTGTATGGCCGAAAGTTTGTCATTTTTTCCCACCTATATGTCTTGGTCTAATAAAAGATACTACTTCTTCATACAGCCCTAGTACTGCACATCCCATCCACAGACACTGTGTGTCTGCCTTGTTCTTTTCATGTTCCCTTAGGTATCCACCATGGGTGATGGTGGGAGAGAGGAGACAGGACTGGATGCCACCTTTGCTTGGGTCAGTACAATGGTAATCATGTCCTCACACAGACAAATGGCATCTTTCTGAAAGCATGGGCACTCGTCTTTCCCCTTCCCATGGAAATACAGTCTTCCATTCTAAGAGAAACCAGAATTCGGACATTAAAATCATACCTTCTAAGAGCTTTTACTTCAAACAATATGCTGCTGTTACTTGTTACAGTAGCCACTAGGGGAAAATTAGGACTCTGGTGGGTGGGAAGAGCACCGAGTTTTGTCCTCTTACATTGTTTGTATCCCGGTAACGTCCTCCCTATGCTGCTGTCCTCAGGGTGCTGTTTGGTACTGGTTTTACGGGGAGTGGGGAC